CTGATCCCCAGCATTTGTGACATATATAGAATCCCAGGTGGGTGGGTAGGGCTGACTCTTACAAGTCCTTTGAGTCTGTTTTGTTTGTTTTTTGATTTCCTATCTCTTTCAGAACATGCTTCTAGAACTTTCGTCTATTATGAAAAAATAATGCATCAGGAGCAGCTGTTATCTGCAGGAGGAGAGTCGTGCCTTTGTCAGCTCAAACTACAGGAAGCGCTTTGGGACCCACATCCTCCGCAGACACCCACCAGGTGAAGGGCCATGTCACATCCACAGGAGACCCTTCCCTTATGAGGGCTGGGGACAGATTCTCACTTCCTTGCTGGGCCACACTGCTTGAGGCAGGTCTGATGCTCGGGCAGTGAGGAGCTGTACACTGTCAGAGGAGATCTAGGGGCAAGAGCGGCTCTGTCTCGAGTAGGAGGATTGGGATATGTCACCTTTTCCCCAGTCCCAGCACAGCCTGGTGGGATATTTTGCAAGAGAGTACCTCAGCTCTGCAGTGGCAGCAAAAGTAGCCGATGGCCCCTTAAACATGGGTCCAGAGCAGGCCTGGAGCTTTGCGCTCAGCGTCAGGTCAGATGTGCTTCCTGTCTATAAAGGAGAGGTTGGCAAGAAACTTTCCATGCTTTTCCTCTCATCAGTTCATTTCTCGGGGATGAACCAGTTGGATTTTTAATTCATCAATGCCACGGAAATAAAATATTGATTAAAACACTGGCAAACACTCGCATGTTCTTTTTGTATCCTGCTGGGATTGTTCATGGGTAGTGGTGATGCCATGATTGTGCCCCACCAGGAGCTTCCTGGGATCAGTAGAAGCCAGCATGTCTTCCTCACCCCGCTCACCCTCCCAGTGGTCCTGAGCCATCCAGGAGAGTGCCCTGTGATGTGCACTGACTAGCCAACCCATGAAGCTGCTCAGCTGGTTGCTACTTGGCTGATCTGAGCTCACTGCAACCTCCGCCTCACAGGTTCAAGCAAGTCTCCCACCTCAGCCTTCCTACTAGCTGGCACTATAGAGGTGCACCACCACTCCCAGCTAATTAAATTTTTTTTTCTTTTTTTTTAGAAATGAGGTCTTGCTATGTTTCCCAGGCTAGTTTGGAACTCCTGGCCTCAAGAGATCCTCCTGCCTCAGCTCCCCATAGCACTTACTTAGATTACAGGTGTGAGCCACTGTGCCCGTCCCAAAAAGTGCCTTAAAGGGGTATGCTATATTCCATGTGCTCACATTATTTATACCTTATACAAGGGTGTCAAATTATTATTGTTCGTTCTCATTTTATAGTTCAGACAAGGCTCAAAGAGATTAACTTTCTCCACAGTTAAAGATCACACAGCCTGCTGGAATTCAAATCCATATCCAGCTGCTCTGAGGCCCACAGTCCTTCCAGAAAGCCTTGTTCTCCTGTCTGTAAAAGTCAGCAGCCCCTGGGCAATGGTTTATTTGTACGTCTCTCTGCCTGACTAGCCTGTGAAAGCTATAAGGATAAGGTATTTGACATCTTGGATGCTCAGTATGTAATACAGTATTGCTTGAATGAATATTTATGTATAAACGCCAAAGGCAATACTTTACCCATTGCTTCCAATTTTCCAATCTTTAGTCCTTATTCACTTTCTGTCATCTTTTGTCATATGTTTGTCAATAGGTTTCAGAGGCCTCTATGGCAATGTTTTTGGTAATTTCAATCTTTTTTTTCACTCTGAAAAGTCTTCACTGGGTTGTCAACAACACGGCACAAATGGAGGTTAAAAAAACAAGTTTGAGCTGGGCATGGTGGCCTGCCTGTAGCCCCAGCAACTTGGGAGGCTGAGGTGAGAGGATTCTTGCAGCCAAGAGTTGACAGCTGCGGTGCACTTTGATCATGCCAGTGAATAACCACTGCACTCCAGCCTGGGTAAGATAGCAAGGCCTTGTCTCTAAAAAGAAGAAAAAACAAAGGCTGGAGGGCCCAGTGTAAAATGTAATGTTTTCAGTGACTCCTAGCATCAGTGTCTCTGAAGGTTTCCATTCACTGCTTTGGGATGAAGGGCACTGTCTCAGGTATGCACTTATCTTCAAGAGGGAAGAGTAAGAACTAGCCACGGAGAATCAGCAATGCCTCTTTGTGGCTAAGTGGGCCAGTGGCAGGCATGTGTCAGGATCTGCAGGAACCAGGGACAGGTGTGGAGACAGGAGGTGCCATGCTCTTGAGTGAAATGAAAGACACTTCCATAATGGGATGTGTGGCTACCTCTATCTCTTTGGGCCTTGATTTTTTGACACCAGGAAGTATTGTGTTTGCCTGTACCAGGAAGACATAGGTGCTCAGTAAGAATTGGAAACCCATTTCTGCTCATGGCATCTTCACCAACTGGTGTTAAACTTTTAAGTACAGTCTTGCTAATGCATCCCAACTGGTGAGGTAGAGTGGGATGAGGTGGGGGGTGGAGAAGAGTGAAAGATTCTAAAATAATTTTAAAGAACAGCTCAGGTCTTTCCAAATATAACAAAACTGCAGGCAGGGCCTGGTGTAGAGGGAACAGTCCTCACTGTGCCCCAGAGGGAGATGCAAGTTTCCTGTAAGAAGCACATGTAAAGTAGGAAAGAAAATGGCTGCTGTCCACCTGGGGCTGGACAGTGCTTAATAGCTCTTTTGTAGGCCGGGCACGGTGGCTCACACCTGTAATCCCAGCACTTTGGGAGACCGAGGCAGGCCAATCATGAGGTCAGGAGATCAAGACCATCCTGGCTAACATGGTGAAACCCCATCTCTACTAAAACTACAAAACATTAGCTGGACTTGGTGGCATGGGCCTGTAGTCCCAGCTACTAAGGAGGCTGAGGCAGGAGAATCGCTTGAAACCGGGAGGTGGAGGTTGCAGTGAGCCAAGATCACGCCATTGCACTCTGAAAGAGTGAGACTGTCTCAAAAAAAAAAAAAAAAAAAAAAAAAAAAAAGCTCTTTTGCAGCTGCAATCCCCAACCTTTTTGGCACCAGGGTCTGGTATAATGGAATACAATTTTTCCACGAACCAGAGGTAGTGGGGTAGGAGGATGTTTTCAGGAAACCATTCCGCCTCAGATCATCAGGCATTAGAGTCTCATAAGGAGCTGCAACCTAGATCCCTCACATGAACAGTTCACAGTGGGGTTTGTGCTACGAGAATCTAATGCCACCGCTGATGGGGCAGGAGGTGGAGCTCAGGCAGTAATGTTCACTCCCCAGCTGCTCACCTCCTGCTGGGCAGCCTGTTCCTAACAGGCCATGGACTAGTCTGCGGCCCAGAGGTTGGGGATGCCTGTTTTGCAGGACACGACAGCTGATGAGGTTTACTTTGCTTCAAAGCATCAGTGTCATTTGTATCGCGAGAGCAAATGTCAGGGTTAAAGGTGCAAATGACCATCAGTTCTAAATTACGTTTTCCCACAGATAATTTTGAGACAATGACTCACCTGTTTTTCTTAGAGTGGATTAACTTCATGTCTTCAGGCATAGGTAATCTACCTCTTGTACCTAAAATGTTATGACTGTGATGTTTTCAGAGCAACACACATTTGGAAAACCCATCACCTGCTCTCAGGAAGCCTTCCTTGACTCCTTAAGTGCCCATGAAGACTCGCCTGAGGGAGCAGAAATTGGCAGGTTTTCGGTTTTGCCATCTGGCGGTTGCAGGCACTTCTCGAAACAGGGATCTCGGCAGCCCTGCCCTGCCCTGCCTGACGCTGTGCGCAAGCACTCGTTACTCACAGCCTCACTGACAGCTCAGCCGCCCGGCTCTGTCCTACTGGCTTTCCCTCACCTCCGAGCTCCAGTCCAGTGTTTGCTCACTGTCACTCAACCTGCCCACCATTCAATATCTTGTTTTCTGTTTACATCAAAATCCAAGACATAACTATCAAATACACTTTTAGAATACACCTTTTTTTTTTTTTTTTTTTTTGAGATGGAGTTTCGCTCTTGTTACCCAGGCTGGAGTGCAATGGCGCGATCTCGGCTCACCGCAACCTCCGCCTCCTGGGTTCAGGCAATTCTCCTGCCTCAGCCTCCTGAGTAGCTGGGATTACAGGCACACGCCACCATGCCCAGCTAATTTTTTGTAATTTTAGTAGAGACGGGGTTTCACCATGTTGACCAGGATGGTCTCGATCTCTTGACCTCGTGATCCACCCACCTCGGCCTCCCAAAGTGCTGGGATTACAGGCTTGAGCCACCGCGCCCGGCCAGAATACACCTTTTAAACTGTACAGTCATGCATAGCATAACCATGTTTTCAGTCAATGATGGAACGCAACAATGGTTTTGTAAGATTATAACAGCCTATTTTTACTGCACCTTTTCTGTATTAACATACACAAATACTCACCCTGGTGTGACAATTGCCTACCATATCCAGTACAATTACACGCTGCACAAGTTTACAACCTAGAAGCATGGTCTAGGTGTGTCGTAGGCTTTCACATCTAGGTTGGTGTGGCACACCCTGATGTTCTCACAATATGAAATCGTGTAAGGATGCATTTCTCAGGACGTACCCCCTCACTCACCAATGCGTGACTGTATGGATTCCTCAGCCACAATTCTAAACATCTTTCCTTACAACTCATTGCCTCTTGGTGTTGGTTTATTTTTCCTCATTTATTTTCATTTAGTTTTTTTAAAAAATTAAACCTTTTTTGGATATAATTGCAGATTCACATGCAGTTGCAAGAAATGATACCCATCACCCAGTTTTTTCCTGTGGTAACATTCTGCATAGTGATAGCACAATATAAAAACCGAGAAATTGGGTTTAAAGCCTTTTATCTACTCTCACAAGCACTAGGAATTTTTTAAATTCAGAATTTAGGGACCACATTAGTATTATCAAATTTCAAAGATTTCTAATCAGATTAAGCAGGTAGCAAGTAAGAGTCCAAACTAGAGGAAGAGAAACGGCCTCTGGGAAAAAAGATTTCCTGAGGTTTCTCACTCCGTAATTTGGAACACAGGGATCAGAGGCAGAGAAAATCAGTTTACAATGCATAATGATATGTCTTTATTTCATCAACAGAAATGGTGTCTAGACAAAATTCAGTTAACACTAGCAATTCAATTGAGTGAAAAAATTTTTTTTTGCACAATAGTGTATTTACAATGAGTAAATGAAGTTTCAATTCATTAGTTCATAGCAATGCTTTTTTTTCCCCCAAAAGGTAAAAATTCTTAGTTACAGAGAATAAGCATCAACAGCCTTTCATTTTTACAAAACCACAAGAAAAACCACAATCACTTAGAAAAAAATAAGGACAGGCCTAAGAACTAGTACAATAAAATGATGCATTGAATTAAGTTACATTAATCGCATAGAATCTGTGTAAAAAGTATGTAGAAAAACACCTGATGTAACCTGTTACAGTCGTTGACCAGTTATGAGAGGTACAGAGGGTTATACAGGTAGATATGTGTGAAAACTGTCCGTATTGTTCAACCTGGGGAGGAAGAGAAGAGGGGCTGCAGCCCCTTGCATACACTGAGAAGACCCTGTTTTGAATATGGCCTCTGGAGTTTGTAAGGCATATATTAGAGGTGCACTTGTATCAGACTGGTTCTGGAACAAATTGTCACAGGCCCTCTTGGCCTCACAAGCAAAGGTGGTGCTTGCCTTGAATGGCTCAATGTGTCTAACAAGCACCTGAAGCTCCCAAATGCATGTGGAATCTTCCTGATCACTCACTAGAAGTGCCATGTCTTTGTGTCAGAGCGTGAACGGGCATCCCAGGTTTTGTACACGCAAAATACATTGTTAGGACTTAAGGGGGAGGTCATACCTCTGCCTCCAGACATGTTTTGGTAGAAGACTTAGCATCCATCTGTAGGAAAACCCCTCTTTGTCCATGTCCCTTCACTCTTTCCCAACATATGCGTCTGATTATTCCCATGGGAGCACTTGGCACTGAATGTGAGTCTACCTGAAATGAATGGTCTTGGTGCACTTCTGCTTCTAAGAAGGGCCAGTGTTTTATCTGAGGTCAATAAACTGGAATGAGAATGAAGGTCAGAGTTGTTTATCCATTGCTTGACAGCGAAATGCATAACACCATGTCACAACATTAAATCAAAGCTATGAAAGTTGGCCTCTGCAACCAAGTGGGTATTCTTCACAAAATGGCAGCATTGTTTTCAAATTACATTTAAAATGCACTGATATTCATCTGATATAAATATCATTTCCCAGGGTAGAGTGTAGGAAAATACTATAAACTTACTTTTCTTTGCAAGTAATGTTTTTGCACCGTCAGTTGAATAATTTATCTTCAATCTGCCACAGTAAGTCTTTTCTATGTACAAATCCTATTTGCACACACCATTTGTGTACAAATATATTCTGTTCTACAGCATCGGTTTTGGATGCTGGGGTCATGAGATGGCTCGGGCAGTACGATAAACATACACTTTCAACACAGAATGCCTCATGCACACAGACTTCCCATATGAATATCAACTCCATACAGGGCATTGTATCGTGGACTGACTCACCAGAAATCAACTTCCAACACAGTCTTCAATTTGGGGAAGAAACACTAACTCATGATACAACAAACAGCTTTATTCTTCAAAAGTAAAAATAAAAACAAAAAAACCTTTTGTTCTTTATTTACAGTGATTTGAGGGCTAAATTTGATTCTTGCTCCCTTCTGAATCTGAAATTCCTCTTAAACTGTAAGCAACAGTGGAGCAGTTTGAAGTCATTTCTAAAACAGCTCCTAGTTTAAACGGGGCATTATGTAGAGAAACAGGTAGTCAAACAGGGACTTGAGAAAGCTTTGCAGGCAGCTCTTCCTCAACTTGAGAGGATTATGCTACTCCACAGGATGTCAAGCAGCTTCACGGGACAGGACTTTTGGTTTCTCAACAGGCTTATCATTTTCAAACCTTCCCCTGTTTCTTCTTTTTCTTCTTCTTTGATGGCAATCATAAATATTTTAAAAAAATGTGTGTTTAGGCCTCTTGACAACAGCGTTAAACTTCACACTGTGCGCACTTCACTTGAGCCAGTCCTCTCTCGAAAGTCGTTGCTGGTCCTGGCTCCTTTTGAAGGAGAGTGGCAGTTGGCATACTAATCACTAGGCTTTTTTTTTTTTTTTTTTAAGTTCCTTGGAAAAGCAATATAAGGATTACATCCCAAATTATAGTGCATCTGAAAAGCAGCAAACCTTTAGAAAGACAGTTAATAAATTACTCGCACAACATACAGGAGCAGACACACACAGTCAGGTTTTCCACCGCAGCATCACCTCTGACGCCTGAGTCATTGCTGGGAACTCAGAAGAGAAGTAGCAGGATGGCCTAGTAACTTTGTTGGCTTTTTTTTTTTTTAAAGATTTTCTAACTGTTTTGTTCCAGAATCAGTATGTAATAAAGTTCGATTTTAATCAAGGCACCCCTAGATAACTCAGAGAAACAAACACATACAACAAAGCACTCACCTGCCCAAAGCCTGACCAACTTGAAGAGGTTGCCTGGAGACACAAGCAGGACAAAGGCGGATCCAAGGGGAGGACTGGATTTAGGTGGGATGCTCATTAGTCACCTCCACTGGCTCTGCCCCACCATTCCTATCCTCACCATTTGAAGACCCAAGCAGAATGTCACAAGCATCCTTCAAAACAGCCCGTGGTTGGAGGGTCTCTTATTTTTGTAAGAAAATAACCTTAAAAACACAACCAAATGTCATTATACTGTACAAACACTCTTCCTTGCTGTTTGTTCATAAAAGGTGTGGGGTTGACTAAGGGATCCCACGGAAAAGAGACAGGCTGGTTTTTAAAATTCCACTTGAGGCCATTTGGATTCTGGTCCCCAGCAAGTCCTCCCTTTGAATCAACCAAGAAATAATTGCGACAAGCACTTAGTTCTGAATAGGAAAAGACACACATATATCACATGAACAATTGCACAAAGCTAGTCACTGTTCATAGTGGATAATGAAGGAAATAACTTGTTAGAAATCCCCATGAAATTGGAAGATGGTTTTGAGAGCAATGTTTTTAACCAGTTCCCATGGCAGGAGTTAGGTAGGGGAAAGAGGGAGAAAAGCAAGGCAGGGGTCTGGGGGAGGAGGGTAAGGTCTGAGTTATGGTGGAGAGAAATAAAGAGACCCTTATAAAAAATGGAAATTCTGATACATATATGGTATCCGTGTACTTTAAGTCAATCTTAGAATGACAAGTACACCTAATTCCACTCATATAATGTATCTAAAGTAATCTAATTAATGGGGACGAAAAGTAGAATGGCAGTTTTCAGGGTTTGGGATATAGGAGAATGAGGAGTTACTGTTTCATAGGTACAGTGTTTTAGGTTTGAAAGATTTTTAGGTTCCAAAAAATTCTGGAGACGGAAGGCAGTAATGGTAGTATGACACTGTAAATATACTTAATGCAAAAGAACTGTAAGCTGAAAATAATTAAGATGACATGTGATTAAGATGGTAAAGATGGTGTATAATTCTGCTCAGGATGCTATAACAAAATGCAATAAACTGGGGGACTTAAACAAAAAACAACAAAAAGAGACCCTGCACCAACAGAAATGGCTGCCAAACAGGTCTGGGCTACTGAACCACAGAAACCTGGGGAAGCAGATGGAATGTGGTCAAGACTACCAGTTGCACAAGAGTTGATACCAGGGTAAATCATGCCAAGAAGCTGGGTTGGATCTGGTTATGATATGAGCAGAAAGTGTTCTTTCTTTAAAAGAAGAGAAGAGGTCACTTGAAAAGGCAACAACAGAGTTAAAAAACAAAATACTGTCAGCTGACTCCAACATAACACATGCCTCTGAAGTATCACATGATTCACATTGAGTTTATATTCTCGCTGTCATCAGTTTTCCACAAAGGCAAACCTCACAGTGAAGCACAGAACTGTCCTACTAGGCCAAGAAATTCCAACAACCATAACGAAAACCAGCAGCTCCAACAGAGCTTTATCAAGGTCTGTTTCAGACAAGCACACACACACACACACACACATACACACATGAGAAAAAACAAAAACCCAGAGGCAGGTTTTAAAAGTGGAACCGTTTAAAAAGAAAAGTCTTTTTTTTTTTTTTTTTTTTTATCCTACTGCATGAACTGACAAATTTCTGGCATTCATACATATTTAAACATTTAGTGCTAATATTTGTACAGAAAAAAGTTAATACTAAAACATATGTTACTATGATTTCACTTTTCGCCTATATCATATACTAATTTCCCCTTTTACATGCAGCTTTAATATTGTCCAAACAATGGCACAAATAAAGAAACAAAGTCAACCATCTATTCCCCACTGCCCACCACCCCATCCCCACATCAAACCGTTCAGGACTCTTCCCCAGCCAGGCTGGAGTGGCCCTCGGGCTGTTCAGTGAGACCCGGACCCAAGGCCACTGGAGCGAGGGAGCTGATTCCTCCTCCTCTGGGGCACACCTTCCTGTAAACGTGGCTGGGGCCAACACGCCCCCAGAGCCAAGGGAAGCTGCTCTCTCTGGGTTGCAAGCCAACCAGTTTTGCAGCAAGAAGAGAAAATTATCATCAGGTGAGGGTAGGGTATGTGTGTGATTCGGGAAGGGAAGAGGGAGGGCTCTCGGTGATAGCCTGTCCAAAGCTTCAGAATGAAGTCTGCCTTCAGACAAGACTGGCAGAAAAAGCTCAGAAGACAACTCGAAGCCTTTGGAGAAGGAAAGGAGAAAAAATGTGTCAGCCTGTGTCAGGGATGGATCGCAGGTGCCAGGATGCTCTGCTCTCCCCCAACGGTGTGAAGGCAGGACCTTTGGGGCTGCAATTCAAATCCCCGCAGGCCAGATGTCCTGGGAGGCCAAGCCTGGGCAGTAAAGCCGGTGGCAGGTTGGCCCCGTCCTTCAGGGGAGCAGGTCCTACTGCACAACACTTCCGAGAGCAAGCCGAGGCCTCAGGATGTGTTGAAATGAATGGGACTTACTCCCTGGGTGAAAACAGCTCTAACTTGATTTTTAGGAGCCAATGTCTGATGAGTTCTGGTATAATATCATGGATTCCTGTTTTTCTGATGTACTTTTGAGTGAGATGTCCAAACTCTCTCCCCACTTAGGAATCTGAACATCCAGCATCAACTCTGAACTCTCTATCTGCATTTAAACTTTGCTTAGGGAAAGGTGGGGAGGAGGTGAAATATAAAAATATTCAAGCAGATTATTGTCTACACATCCTAGGATGAATTCGTTATTTGGCAAGATTGTTTTTCCTACATAATTATCACCTGAGTGCTTTTTAATTAGCTAAAATGTTTTACTTTTTTAACTAAAAGCAAAGAATATACAGTATACTTGAGTTATACTGAAGTTACAACTTCATTTAAGAAAATAGGTTTGACCCAAAACTCAGTGCAAGTGGTAAAGTTGACCATTACTGTACAGTATCTGCAAGGAAAAAGAAAAAAAATAACCACCTCCCCTACCCCCCCACCAAACAAACAAAAAAGAAACCCACAATGCTCAAATGACACCATCTGGCGGTGCCAAAATCAAACCAAACGTAAAAAAGAGCTGAAATAAAATCTTGGGAAAAAGCTTCCAACACTGAATTTTGTCCATAAATAAGTACAAATTGAAAATCGAACTGTGAAGCAAGAAAAATGACCATGTTAACAGTTACCAAACTAGTTCTAGCATCAGAGACAAAACAAGAGGAATGTTGGAACCTGTTTCTAAATGAGAAATGAAGTTTCCAGTTTTAGGATGAGAAAGTTGAGGCATGCAGGACTTTTGCATATGGATATATATATATTTTATATATATTATATATAATATGTACAGTCTAGCTATAAAACTTTGATGTGTATAGAAGCTGTCTTCAATGAAAAAAATTGAACATTCAGAAGAAATTCCTGAGATAGGGTTTGTGACATGGGCCACTGAGAAAAAAAATCCGTGGTTGGGGCCTAGAGGTGTTGTAGTCTATCCCTGTGAAGACTGAAATTGAGCCACAGACAGACAGTGTCATTACTGCTGTCTTTCCTTGCCTGGGCAAGGGGTAGCACCATTGTGAAGGTAACTATCTATCACTTCTGCTCGAGAAGAGGAGAGAATACTTCGGAACAGTATTGCTGCTAAGACCGCTGTAGTGTGCACCAAATGTGTTTTCGGTTTCTTCGGGACAGCAGATGAACAGTGCCACAGGCCGACTGAAGAACGCCTGGGTGGGAGAGGTGTGCGGACTGGGAGGCAGAGCCGAGTCACTAGGTATAATCTTTCCTGGGCTGTTCGTCAGTTGTACACTTATCAGTCATTTCCTGGCAGAAGTCCACGGTCACTGTTTGGCTCCTGGGTTCAAGAGGAGGTCCTCTCTCAGAAAAGGCTCCCGGGTCAGTGCCTTCTAGCCTCCTCCCAGAGGTACAATTCTCGGAGGTGTTGCTGGGTGCCCAGGGTGGTCCAGGGGGAGCCGTACCTGGCTCCAAGCAGCAGGGCACATTTTCACCCACTGCGCACTGGGAGGCTGCAAGGTTCTGCTCGACACCCAGAGGTGCAGGGTTAACACTGGAGGCTGTGGGCAGGTCTATGGGTCTGAGGACAGGGCAATACCGATGCAGGGCCTGGATCTGCTCGGGGCTCTGGATGTCTCGGCAGACTTCCTGGGAAAGGCAGGAGAAGTTGTCCAGCAGTTCCCCCATGCATGCTTTCAGCTGATTCCTCTCTGACAACAGTTTCTCTTTCTCACATACCTGGACAGTACAGGAAATAAAGAGAAGATTGGATCGAACCTGAGTTGGAGGACACAAGGCCTCATTTTGGGAGGTTTTCCAGCCTTTGTTTTGCATCCTCCATTATGATGTAACTCATGAATGACTAGGTCAGGCTCTAGAAACTTAAAGATACATATCCAGGGAGCCCAGACATGGGCTTCTGCCACACCTCCCATCTGAGCCACCCATCCAGATGAGCTGCTGAGGCCAACACCTTTCCCAGGACATCCCTTCAGCCCTTTCCAAGGCCCAGGCAAACTGGTAAAACTGTCACCAATCAGAAAGCTTGAGTCAATGTTTTGGTTTTCTGAAATTTGGGGTTTGTAGACAGTTAAATGAAAAACTTTCAGTCCCAATCTTGTGATTGAAAATCTCCCCCAAATGCATCAGGTTACCATTTTTGAAAGGTAAAAATCTACCATTCCAACTATATGACATTTTGAAAAAAGCAAAACTATGGAGACAATAAAAAGATCTGTGGTTGCCGGGGTAAAGGGGGTTGAGCAGGCAGAGCACAGGGTATTTGGGGGCAGTGAAACCACTCTATATGATATTATACTGGTGGATCCATGTCATTATACATTCGTTCAAACCCACAGAACGTACAACACTGAGAGTGAGCACTAATGTAAACTATGGACTTGGGTGATAATGATGTGTCAATGTATGTTCACTGACTGTAACACGTGTACTACTTTGTGAAGGATGTTGACGGTGGGGAAGGCTATGTGTGTGGGAACAGGGAACATATAGGAACTCTCTCTACAGTGTGTTCAATTTTGCTGTGAACCTAAAACTCCTCCTAAAAAAGCAAGTCAGGAGAGGAGGATCCAAGATGGCCAATTAGGAGGAGCTCAGGATTGCAGTGAAAGTGCAGAGGGAGAGTGGACGCTGCATTTCCAGACGGATTTTTATTGCCCACAGACCAGGAGATTCCCAGGTGGATGAGCCCCACGGATCACCAGCACAGCTGAACCGGCACGGCTGCTTTGCCGGCGCCCCTGGGCGGCGGTTCTCCGTACAAAATACACGTGTCCAGGCACCATTTTAGCTGGCAATTGGAGCTCCGGAAAGGCAGAGTCGCCCATTCATCTGATTAAAAAGGGGACTGAAACAGGGAGCCAGGCCAGGAGACTCTTGGGCAAAAAAACGCTGCAAATCTCAGCACCGCTGTTTCACCCGGCGCAGTGGGTCGCCGCAGGGGAAATCACACAGATCCTGGCGCCTTTTCAACAGGCGACTGGAACACCTGGGAGACAGTCGACCATTCAACTTAAAAAAAAAAGGCTCTGAGGCAGGAGCCAGGTGATCAGGCTCGGCTGGTCCCACCCCCACAAAAAAACAGCAATTGGAAATGCTCTGGGTTGAGAGTTTCACAGCAAGCACAGCCGAACCCGGGAAGGTCCAGTTCTGTGGGGGAGGGGCGTCTGCCATGACCCAGGCACACCATCACTATGGAGGTAGTCTGCCATTGCTGAGGCAGCCCGCCGTTGCCGAGGCAGCCTGCCATTACAGAGAGAGTCCGCCATTATAGAGGTGGGCCTGGTTTTCCGAGGCAGTTCTAACTACGCCCTTATAAACAGGACTGCAGGGAAGTTCACACGGCAGCTGGGCGGAGCCCACAGCAGCTCAGTAAAGCCTCTGCAGACAGTGACTAGGCTGCCTCCTCGCTGGGCAGTGCAGCCTTGATAAAAAGGCAGCAGTACAATGGAAACTCAAAAATAAAGCCCTAACTACCCGGGACAGAGCACCTGGGGGAAAAAAGAAAGGGGGTTTATGAGTTCTGCTGCAGCAGACTTAAACGTACCTGCCCAGCAGCTCTAAATGAACAACGGAGATCACAGCTCAGCACTTGAGCTCCTAAAGGACAGTCTCCTCAAGCAGCTCCCTGACCCCGTATATCCAAAGAGTCACCTCATAAAGGAGAGCTCAAACTGACATTTGGCGGGTATCCTTCTGGGACAAAGATACCAGAAGAAGAAACTCGCATCAACCCTTACTGTTCTGCAGCTGCTGCAGGTGATCCCCAGGTAAGCAGGGCCTGGAGTGGACCTCAGCAGTCCTACAGCAGAGGGGCCAGATTGTTAGAAGGAAAACTAAGAAACAGAAGGAAATAACTTCATCATCAACAAACTGGACGTCCACTCAAGTACCCAATCTGAAAGTCAACAACTTCAAAGACGACAGGTAGATAAATCCACAAAAATGGGAAGAAACCAGTGCAAAAAGGATGAAAGCAACTGAAACCAGAATGCCTCTCCTCCTACAAGGGATCACAACTCCTCACCAGCAAGGGAACAAGGCTGAATGGAGAATGAGTGTGATGAATTGACAGAATCAGGCTTCAGAAGGTGGGTAATAAGAAACTTCTGTGAGCTAAAAGAACATGTTCTAACCCAATGCAAAGAAGCTAAGAACCTTGAAAAAAGGTTTGATGAAATGCTAATGAGAATAGACAAGTTAGAGAGGAATATAAGTGAATTGATGGAGCTGAAAAACACAACACGAGAACTTCATGAAGCATGCACAAGTTTCAACAGCCAAATTGACCAAGCAGAAGAAAGGATATCAGAGGTCAAAGATCAACTCAATGAAATAAAACAAGAAGGCAAGATTAGAGAAAAGGGGTAAAAAGGAATGAACAAAGTCAACGAGAAATATGGGACTAAGTGAAAGGACCTAATCTACATTTGATAGGTGTACCTGAATGTCATGGAGAGAATGAATCCAAGCTGGAAAATACTCTTCAGGATATCATCCAGGAAAATTTCCCCAACCTAGCAAGGTAGGTCAATATTCAAGTCCAGGAAATATACAGAACCCCGCAAAGATATTCCTCAAGAAGAGCAACCCCAAGGCACATAATTGTCAGATTGACCAGGGTTGAAATGAAGGAAAAAATGCTAAGGGCAGCCAGAGAAAAAGGTCAGGTTACCCACAAAGGGAAGCCCATCAGACTCACAGCAGATCTCTCAGCAGAAACCCTACAAGCCAGAAGAGAGTGGGGGCCAATATTCAACATCCTTAAAGAAAAGAACTTTCAACCCAGAATTTCATACCCAGCCAAACTAAGCTTCAAAAGTGAAGGAAAAATAAAATACTTTGCGAACAAACAAGTACTCAGAGATTTCATCACCACCAGGCCTGCTTTACAAGAGCTCCTGAAAGAGGCACTAAGCATAGAAAGGAACAACCAGTACCAGCCACTCCAAAAACATGCCAAATGGTAAAGAGCATCAACACAATGAAGAAACTGCATCAACTAATGGGCAAAACAGCCAGCTAGCATCAAAATGGCAGGATCAAATTCACACATAATAATATTAACCCTAAATGTAAATGGGCTAAATGCCCCAATCAAAAGACACAGACTGACAAATTGGATAAAAAGCCAAAAGCCATTGGTGTGCTGTATCCAGGAAACCCATTTCACATGCAAGGATACACGAAGGCTCAAAATAAAGGGATGGAGGAAGATTTACAAAGCAAATGGAGAGCAAAACAAAACAAAACAGGAGTTGCAATTCTCATCTCTGATAAAACAGACTTTAAACCAACAAAGATCAAAAGAGACAAAGAAGGATATTACATAATGGTAAAAGGATCAATGCAACAAAAAGAGCTAACGATCCTAAATAAATACACACCCAATACAGGAACACCCAGATACATAATGACTTACAAAGAGACTTAGACTCCCACACAATAATAGTGGGAGACTTTAAAACCCCATTGTCAATATTAGACAGATCAACCAGACAGAAAATTAACAAGGATATCCAGGACTTGAACTCAGACCAGGACCAAGCAAACCTAATAGATATTTACAGAACTCTCCACCCAAAATCCACAGAATATACATTCTTCTCAGCACCACATCGCACCTACTCTAAAATTGACAACATAATTGGAAGTAAATCACTCCTCAGCAAATGCAAAAGAATGGAAATCATAACAAACAGTCTCTCAGACCACAGTGCAATCAAGTTAGAACTCAGAATTCAGAAACTAACTCAGAACCGCACAGCTTCATGGAAACTGAATGACTGGCTCCTGAATGTTGACTGGATAAACAATGAAATGAAGGCAGAAATAAAGATGTTCTTCGAACCAATGAGAACAAAGACACAATATACCAGAATCTCTGGGACACATTTAAAGCAGTCTCTAGAGGAAAATATATAGCAATAAATTCCCACATGAGAAGCAAGGAGAGATGTAAAATTGACACCCTATCATCAAAATTGAGAGAGCTAGAGGAGCAAGATCAGAAAAACTCAAAACCTAGCAGAGGACAAGAAATAACTAAGATCAGAGCAGAACTGAAGGAGATAGAGACACAAAAAACCCTTCAAAAAATCAATAAATCCATGAGCTGGTTTTTCAAAAAGATCAACAAAATAGACAGACCACTAGCCAGATTAATAAAAAAGAATAATCAAATAGATGCAATAAAAAATGATACAGGGGATATCACCACAGATTCCACAGCAATTCAAACCATCATCAGAGATTATTACAAACAACTCTATGCATATAAACTAGCAAACCTGGAAGAAATAGATAAATTCCTGGACACTTGCATCCTCCCAAGCCTAAACCAGGAAGTCAAAACCCTGAATAGACCAATAACAAGGTCTGAAGTTGAGGCAGCTATTAAGAGCCTACCACCCAAAAAAAGCCCAGGTCCAGATGGGTTCACAGCCGAATTCTACCAGACATACAAAAAGGAACTGGTACCATTCCTTCTGAAACTATTCCAAATAATCCAAAAAGAGGGAATCCTTCCGAAATCATTTTATGAGACCAACATCATCCTGGTATCAAAATCCGGCAGAGACTCAGCAAGGAAAGAAAACTTCAGGCCAATATCCATGATGAACACAGATGCAAAAATCTTCAGTAAAATACTGGCAAGCCAATTGCAACAGCACATCAAAAAGTTTATCCACCATGATCAAGTAGGATTCATCCCTGGG